GAGTGAAAATGATGTGAACTGTTCACAAGACTGAAGAAAGCGCAGGCAGATCCAGGATCAGGCTCATCTGATAGAAGGTTGCATGTTTTGCTGCGTGGGGTTGGGTTGTGTGAAATATGACATGAAAATAATATGATTGAGAAGAAGTAGGAGTATACGCACTCCCCCACCCGCCCTCAATTCCAGTCTCCCTCACATAACGTTCTTTACGGGGTGATGCCCAGGCTGATATTTTTGTGATTGAGAATAGTTCAGGAGTAAATATGGTGAAATAACATTTGACGTACAATACATATATAAAGATTGCATTACAAGGAATGCAAGCGTATTTTCGAAGAAACTGGACATTCTAATTTCCTGTTCATAACTATTGGTAATTTTCCAAAATAAGCTTCACGAATTGATCGTCAGAAATGAAATGGAGAACTTGGATTATAAGTAGACATTATTAATGAGACATTTTATACTTCCCCTAGATTTATACGCAATGTTTTAGCAAAGTTTACGAGAAAGAAATTCGGGATTTCTTTGAAGTTTCCAAACAAAGATGTTCTGCAAGGAGTGCAAAGGCGGCAGGTAAGCCATTGATTTCCTACTTCATATTTTCCTGCATATAATATTGTATTACCATACAACTATTGTGCAACCCTGTATTCTACTGTACAAAACTATATCTTACTGTACACCACTGTATTTCACTGTTCTTCATTTCGAAGATGCTTCGAAAACCTCATTCAACTGGACGGATGTTTCCTGTTGACTGAAACAATTTCTGTTCAAACACGATTGACAAATGGAGTTAAATCGCTCTACGATAAGCTGCAATGTTACCCCCAATGCACTTGTATCATAGTACCTTTCTGTATATTCCACTAATCCACTGTACTTCAAGCCCTGTTAACCACTGTATGCAACCTTTCATAACCATACCATTGTGTACTACCGCTGCGTTCCACTGTACACAACTGTACCATTCTGTACATCACTGCACTCCACCGTATTATATGCACTATGCGCCGCTATACTCTTTGTACACAACTGTACCATGCTGTACTTCACTCTATAATGTCCGTTGTCATACAACCATTGTGCACTATATATACAGTACAGCGTGTGTCTTCTGTATTGCAAGTCGTGACCTGATGTTTTCTTTCTACATGTGCATAAGTGCGACGTTTTTTCAATTATTACATTCATTTGACTTCTTTTTTTACACTTAGGAGGCAATCTTAGAGCTGGTTCACATCTCTCGTTAAGTCGCGATGAAGTATCACATGCAAGTCCTATGCTATCTCGTGTCACAAAGTTCGATAAATCTTCCACGGATAGTCCTCAACTCAATCGACGTTCACCAACGGGATCACTAAGTTCTCAAGATTCTATTTTATCCTCAGATAGTGTGTCTGAGAATCGAAGTCGATTTGATAAGGTACTGATGCACTGTTTGCGGTAAATGAGTTTGTGATGGTAATTTATATTTTTAGTAATGAGGCGACCTACTATAAACTATGTCAAGATATTTCCGGGTGATTTCTGATCGTGTTAATCAACCGGTTGCTTGTGCGAGTTTTTACTACTTATCAGGGAAACTTTACTGAGTAGATGAAATTGGAAACGGCAGTTTGTTTACACTGCTTATAAATTACGGAATGTGCGCCTTTTACCATAAACTAACGTATTTATTAAAAATCTGATTGTGTGCGTTTCAATGATTTTCTGGTTATATAGATTTTTGATACTCTGTTGTCAGAACTGGAACCTGCGTGTTTAGCCGAACAAAAGTTTATTGAAAAGTTCTTCCACATGCCATTGCCCAAGGATGAGTCCGAGGTAAACACTACTGGTATTGCCAGAGATTTCTCCAAAGGAACATGTTTCAACTCATCAGTTTATTGTTCAAATTATATTAAAATTTTAAAAACACGTCTTGTGATCAGGGCCGCCGAGGGGGGGGGGGGCAATTTAGGTCAGGGCCCCTAGAAATTTTTGTTGGGTCCCAGCATTTTTTTGGGTGAAATATTTCCGCGCAAAGGCCTGTTTTTTCCGGCAAAGTACCGAAATTTGGTATGAAAAATTGAGGTAAAGTCACTGGAAAGCAATTACAACGTACTCGTCCCTAAAAAGTTGTCGACGGGTGAGTTGTTGTTCGAAAAAAATTTTTTCCGGAAAACATTTTGAAAATGGGGGCCATAAAAAAATTTGCCCCGGGCTCCCGCCAAGCTCTCGCCGGCCCTGCTTGTGATAAAATACCGTTTGTTCTTCCACTCTATCTCATGCCCATGCTCTGATCCTAACATAAAATCCATCGCTCAAGGGGCGATCGCAGCGATATAAGTTACGTTGTCAATATAGTCTAGGACCTGTATATGAGTTTGTATGCATTTCATTTAGGACAGATAATCTCAACTGTTTTAGGGTAAGTTGACCATGACAGTCAACATGGTAACGCTGCCCGAACCCCAATCCGGGGCGAAACGTCCGAAACTGACCACACCCAAAAACGACGCTTTCGCCATACTGCTATCTACCAAACCATAAAAGCTTTGGTTATTCTGAGGTGCTTATATGGTTCAGAGATGGTACTATTGGGGGTGGTCATTGGTAAGTGTGAAATGCCTAGCACTAATATTTCACATGAAAATGGCCATGTGGCTTGCAAATTCAGATAAACAGCAGTGGACTTACATTACCTTTTTCCCTAAATCTTTTTGATAGAAACATAAATGGTACTTATTTAAATATATTATCATTGGTTTGGTGTAAAATAGTTAATATTTTCTGACCGAAATAATAATTCGAAATGTGCCTACCTCTTGCAAATGGACGTATTTGGCCAAGTTCTCCACTTTACTCCGCTGTTTATCGGCGATCTCGTCGACATCCTACAAAAAATGTAAATCATCTCAGACATATTGGTATCAAGAACATTTTAAAACAAGTTTCAACTTGGTTTCAAGTAGATCATACCTGTTTAACCATCGACAAGGTAAATCCACAACTTTGTCCAAATTCGGTGCCATTTTGTCATCCCATGTCGCTTGTTAACAATTCAGCCTTGTTACTCTTCCATCCAAGCCATTTCCATTCCACTAATAATAAATTTAACCCTTTATAACAGGAGGAAACTAAAAATCTAAACAAAATATAAGAAATACGCCATTTTATCACCATGTAAAATTTTGCTCACGAGTCTTTCAAAACATTCCGTACAAATATCGCGTGACAAAGTAACAGGGACGTGACAGGAGGGGGGGAATTATTTCACGAAGATAGAAGAAGGCTGCGTGAAATAGACTAAAAGCTAAATACAATCATACAAATGTTTGTTTTATTTCTTGTAGCGACAAATATATACATATTATTATTTATTAATATGAAAAAGTCATACAAATTAAATGTTGATTGTTGGTTTTACCATACTGTGTGGGCTTTCCTTTCAAGTCTCTACCCCCCCTGTCACGTCCCTGTTGGCTAAACCACGCGAGATTTGTACGGAATGTTTCGAAGGACTCGTAAACAACATTTTACAGGGTGATAAAATGGCGCATTTCTTATATTTTATTTAGATTTTTAGTTCCCACCTGTTATAAAGGGTTAAATTTATTATTAGTGGAATGGAAATGGCTTGGATTGAAGAGTAACAAGGCTGAATTGTTAACAAGCGACATGGGATGACAAAATGGCGCCGAATTTGGACAAAGTTGTGGATTTACCTTGTCGATGGTTAAACAGGTATGATCTACTTGAAACCAAGTTGAAACTTGTTTAAAATGTTCTTGATACCATTATGTGTGAGATGATTTACATTTTTTGTAGGATGTCGACGAGATCGCCGATAAACAGCGGAGTAAAGTGGAGAACTTGGCCAAATACGTCCATTTGCAGGAGGTAGGCACATTTCAAATTATTATTTCGGTCAGAAAATATTAACTATTGTACACCAAACCAGTGATAATATATTTAAATAAGTACCATTTATGTTTCTATCAAAAAGATTTAGGAAAAAAGGTAATGTAAGTCCACTGCTGTTTATCTGAATTTGCAAGCCACAAATTGACGTTTAACTATGATTATTGCATGGCCATTTTCTTGTGAAATATTAGTGCTAGGCATTTCACACTTACCAATGACCACCCCCAAAAGTACCACTCTGAACCATAGAAGCACCTCAGAATAGCCAAAGCTTTTATGGTTTGGTAGATAGCAGTATGGCGAAAGCGTCGTTTTTGGGTGTGGTCAGTTTCGGACGTTTCGCCCCGGATTGGGGTTCGGGCAGCGTTACCATGTTGACCGTCATGGTCAACTTACCCTAAAACAGTTGAGATTATCTGTCCTAAATGAAATGCATACAAACTCATATACAGGTCCTAGACTAATACCTACAGTAACATGAACTCGTGGTGTATTTACTTTCAGACGTCCAGTATATCAAGTGGAAGCTCAATTTTATTTAAAGACAATCCTGACGGTGGTTTTATGTCGCGACCTAAGCGCTCTGGTGAACTGGGATTGTAGTAAGTATTAATTAATACGACACAAATCTACCTGTTGCAGCTTTTCTCCAGGCATATTCTGATTTAACCTGTTTTCAAAATTTAATATTAAAATTTCCTGTGATGCCGGTTTTAAGATTTCCTGAGGGAAAGAGAAACAATTTTAAAACACTGCTGCCAGCACTTGATAAGTCTATACCAGAAAAACCTTTTGTTGGTTTTCACGACAAGCACACATTCTAAACAGAGAAAGATACTTTTCGATGTTTCGAGCAAAAGCATATTGTTGTCGTGGGTGTCAGTGTGTTTGTGTGTTAGATTGCAGCCAATCGGTGACAAGCATTATTCGGACTATTGAAAGTACATTCGAAATTACGTCATAGCATGAAATTCCTGTCTGTTCCCAGGTAATCTAAAAACAATGAAATAATCTCATTGCTTTCAATCCAGGGTCTCGATCTCCTCATTAGCAGTTAGATAAACTGTATTAATTACACGCCTAGACCAATGGCCAGTAAATGATATTCCCTGAAATTTATGTGCTATGATCCTAGCATATTAAATTACAGTATAAAGGCCATGTTACACGGTGCAATTTTTCTTGCAACTTGTAGACTGCGAGCAATCCCTCTATTTTCCTTCGTTTTATTGTTTCCCGGACTAAGACTGAACGCGCGGGAAAATGGCAAAAAGGGGCGGAGACGAGAGGAAAAATAGAGGGATTGCCGCTTTAACTAATTGTCAAGCGTGTTTGATTTTCCCGTTGCACAGACAACGGGAAATTCTGATTGGTTAAAAAACAATAAATATTCTGATAGCATTAAAACCCATCACTCAGCTGGCTTTATACTGTAAACAGACATTTGCCGAAATTAATATCTATCTGGCAGCGGGAAGCAACGAAAATTGATACGTATGTAGTTGAAAGTCTTACAACAAGCTTACAGAAACAAACGCTTGCAATAGAG